AGAGACACTCTGGCCAGCTCAGCTCGTCATCCAGAGTGCAGGCACAGGGCTGTACTTGCTGTGGGATCGCTGGGATGGCCAGGCTTACACACAGCTGCCTGCAAGAGGACTGGGGCTCTGCCGTGCAGGAGGAAGAGAAGGAAGGCAAGGCTGCAGCCAGCAGTCTATGCTAGACGCGGTGCTCATGGAAGAAATGGACCATGTGGCCAACGAACACTCCTGGAGCAACAGGCTGTCTGTGCAGAGAAGCAGCCGTCATATACCATCCACAAAGCACATGCCAGGCCAGTTAAGGACCTGAGTGTGCAGAGCAGTACCTGGCAGTGTTTCTGGTCTCAAGCAGGGTTCTTCAATACGGCAAACCCAAATTATCAAGAAAAGTGAATAAATTTGACTAAAATTTCAAGAATTATTTACCTTAACCCACATATTTGGCAAAGGAAAACCATATAGTGGTAAGAGATTTCTGATGACTCACTTGACCAACAAAGGATAGGCTTGGTTACAGGCTGATTCCTGCACCTGCATAGCTCAAAGCCATCCATTTGGAGGATCCTTGCTGGGGCATAGGGATGTTCCATGTCCTGACAAAGGGGATTTCACCCTCATAAATGCAGAAGTCAGGGCTCATGGACCTGAACCTTTAATATCCAAGCCTTTTAGTGTATAGTAATTAGACTTTACCTCAAGGAAGAAACAAAGACAAGCTGATAGAACCTAGAACAAGGGATGTTCTTAGAAGAGACAGCATGGGCGGGCCAAGAAATAGCAAATGGCCAGAAAAGTTGCCCAGAAAGAGCCCTGGTGGCCAGAATGATGCTGGTTGGCTGCAGCTCTTTCCCTGCTCTGGGAGAGTGGAGAATGGGGAGCAGCCACCTCAGAGGGCCAGGTAGACAGGGCTGAGGGGCTGAACCGTTTCTCTTACACAGGGCACAGTGGCAGACAGAGGGCCCAGGGCCATGGTAGGCTGGGGGTGGGGTGGGAGGCACAGCTCTGCAACTTGAGGTCACCAGGGTATCCGTCCCACTGGCGGGCAGTTTGGCAGTGAACGCAGCCCCAGAGGGTTGTCTGCAAGACCACAGGGCAGGAGGCTCCCCTGGGTTTGGCCACCTCACGGTGGTTATGTTGGCACAGGAGCCGTGGGAAGGAATGAGTCAGTTCTGATGACCTTGGCCTGTGTCCTCAACTGCACAGAGCTGTGGGAACAAACGAGACCATCCAGAAGAGGACCAGCAGCCTGTCTGTCCTGTCTATTCAGAGCTGCTGTGGCAGGGAGGCAGGACCACTGTAGGCACAGGAACGGGATGGTTCTATTGTAGGGAAAGGGGAGGCTGTGGGTATGTTCTGATGGAGGTACAGGGAAGCCAAGGTGGGCTCTGCAGAAGGTAGCCTCCTGTGCAGCTGTTTGAAGAACACAGGGACATCTCTGGCTGGTCCTGGATTGGAAGCTGGAAGGGGTGGGCATGGTGCAACCACTAGGAAGCTGCACTCCTTCCTCAAAGCCTGGCCCACTGGGCCGAGTGCTGTGGAGGTTGTAGTTTGGGTCAGAGTAGTTCTGCCCTGTGTGGTCTGGCCGACGTCTGTCTGCAGCTTAGTCTCTCAGGCCAGGCCAGACCCTTTACTGGATCAGGGAACAAATCAGATGGGAGCACTCTGGAGTCTGTTGCTAAAGAAATGGTGTGAGGAAAATGAAAGAGGAAGAAGGCCAGGCACAGATGCCTAGACCCGGGTCAGTGAGCCCGAGGCCGTGGGACACCTGCAGGTTCCTCGGGCGCCAGCCAGACACACTTCACGGTGTGAGTGGGACCCTCCATGGGGTCCACAGGACAGGTGGCTGTGGGCATGTAGTGGGCATCTCTGGGAGTGCCTGCAGTCTTCGCAGAGCTTTACTTGGCTTAGTTGCATGGAAGCTGACTGTGCCTGACACCCTCTCACTGGCTCTAGGTGATTTCATCCTGGTGAAGTCTGTCCCAGCTGTCCTTTGTGAGGCACATTGGTGGGAACTGGTGCCACACCGTTTCCCATCCAGGGCTTCTGCAGAGCTGTAGACTCTCCTGGAATTCTCTTACAAAGCATGTGTTCAGAATTAATGACTCCTAACAATTGTAGGTTTCTGTAGGATCTGCTTTAAAGTTTGCCCAGAAGACTGAATTCAGCTTAAAGATCCTCTAAGTCCGTGGAGGCTTCTAATCTATGGAAAAAAGGGGCCTGTGTTTCTTATAGGCATTGGATCATTTCATGCTTTTTCTGTAAGTGAGGGAAACCTGCATGTTCATTTCCATTTTGGAAGGTAGAAGGAACGTGTCATAGGAATTGGAGGATTTGTCCATTCAACAAATATTTACTGATCTTCTATATGTGCCAGGTACATATTGCAAGTGCTGGGATAGGTCAGTAAAGAGGACAGACAAAAACTTCAGAAACTTCTTACTGCACTGGGGTAGGATGGGGATAGAGAGCCCAACATGGATCTGTAAATTGCGTGGAGATCAGAATGAGGGTGGAGGGCTCAAGCGGCAGGTAAAGGAAGCCTCCCTGAGAAGGGCTTTTGTACAGGGACCTAAAGTGGGGCAGCCTTGGCCACCTCTGGGATGGGTGTTTCAGCTGATGAAGCTGTGGACAGAAGCTCTGGGCAAGCAGCAAGGAGGCCCTGAGGGTGGCCAGAAGCTGGGGCCAGGTGCAGGGTGAGAGGTGATAGGGCCAATGGATCCAGCCAGAAGACTGCCGGCATTTTCTTGGGAACCACTGGACTGTTTTGTGCCGAGGAATGGCCTGTGCTGGCCCACGTGTTCACAGGGGCCAAGAGGAGAGGGCTTGAGACAGGCACCAGGTTCCTCTTAGGAGAGGGCACCGTGACACAGGCAGGGTGGCATGACTTGACCCATGGTCTAGCCGTGGCTGTGGCCAGAAGTCAGATCCTACGTCTCTTCTAAAAGTGGACCCAAGGGGATCTGCCGATAACTACTGTGACAGGGAGAGACAGGGTGAGGGTGACCCCAGAGTGGGTCTGAGCAGCTGGAGGTCAGCACTGGGGCAGATCCACAGCAGGGCTTAGACAGGTGAGGTTGGCGGCTGTTTGTCTTGTGCTGCCTGCCCTACTCCACTTGTCAGTTCTGCCCCACTAGGCTCTTGGGGGCCGTGGAGCAGCCCTGAGACTTCAGGCCTGCCCTACTCCACTTGTCAGTTCTGCCCCTCTAGGCTCTTGGGGGCCGTGGAGCAGCCCTGAGACTTCAGGCCTCCAAATACAACTGTGGTCATTGTCAGGCAGGGGCTGTGCTATGGAGTGAGGGAGGGAGGGAGGGAATACATGAAGGCTGGTTCCAGCCTGGGCATTAGCCTCCTGCAATCTCAAGTCCTGCCACCTCCCCAGATCTAAGCCCAAATGTCTCTCACCTGCCCTGGCCATGTCCCCACCGCCCAGTCGGCCCTCATTTCTGACCTGTGCTGCTGAGCATCTTCTCCTGCAGCCGTGGGCTACACTGCTGACATCACTTAATAAAATGCGCATTTGCCAGTCCCTCCCCCGAGATACTTCCATGAAATTAGATTGGGCCACTGGCTTGCCAGAAGTCCTCCGGAGGCCTCTCTCTGCCCTCTCAATACCACCCCATCTCTCGTCAGGCTCCTGGCTGCTCCGGGTCCCCTGCCCATCTGCCCTCGCTGCCCTTGCTGCTGTCCTGTGTCCCCTGCTCCCCAGGCTGGGACATGCCTTCCTCCATCAGCCTCACAGCGCCTCCCCCCCCAGCTTTGGGCTAAGCTTCAGGGTCACCCCAGGAGCATTCCTTGAAGTACATACACCCCTTTTTCTTTTTCACAGAACCCTGCCCTTTCTCCCATATTGATTTTACCTCAATTTATGGTTCTTCCTTTGTCTTTTCATTGCATCATTGTTTAGCTCCTGGACTGTGTCTCCCCCCAATACCTCACACCCTGTATATGTAGCGCCCAGCAAAAGGTGCTCCTGACACCACAACTCCCAGGCTGAGCACAACATCTCTGCTGTTTGTGGGGCTCAGAAAGAGAAAACAGGCATATTGTGAAGGCATGTGTTTGTTTGAGCTGATAACGAATACCTAAGTTGCCATTGGCATGCATGGTTAGTGTCATGTAGGTCAGCTGCACATATGCAGCTGCTGTAATCCCAACACCCCATCTCCTTGTGCATTCAGTGCCATTGTCCCTTGCAGAGGAACAGGAAATATGCAGTTTAATGTTTTCAAGGGCTTAAGAGCTCTCATTTTTATAAGAAGTATCGTGGTCCCCGCTTATCTGTAGGAGATGTGTGTCAAGACTCCCAGTAGACTCCTGAAAGTGTAAACAGTACTGAACCCTGTATGTGCTGGTATTTTTCCTATAAATACATACCTATCATAAAGTTTTATTTATAATTAGACACAGTAAGAGATTAACAGCCATCACTAATAATAAAATTAGGCTTGAACACAAGCCCTGTGATGCTGTGACCATCAATCTGATCACCAAGACGGCTGCTCGTGGCCCAGTGGCATCTGTAGCGTGGATGGTTCTCATCCCAGGCTGGACAGCAAAAGATTTCATCACACTCCTCAGAATGGCTTACAACTGAAAGCCTGGAAGTGTTTATTTCTGGAATTTTTCATTTAATATCTTGAGATCATGGTTGATGGTGGGTAACTGAAACCCCTGAAACTGAAACCTCAGATAAGGAGGACCTGCTATAATAAAATAAAGACATAACTTCCTTTCTGGTATTTCCCACAGATTTCTCACAAGAAGGGAGGCTCATTGATTATGGGAAAACATAATGGTAAAAAAATCAGTGTAAAATAACTTTTAAATTGATTTTTGTCTTTATGATCTTAAGCTGCTGAATCAGTCTATGACTTTTTGTTGCACTCCTCTTTCGGTTGGCTGGGATCCTGCAGAATTGCCAGTGCATCCCTGTAACCAGCAGGCTTGGGCTGGGCAGCGTCAGCACTGAGTCTGAGCTCCCTCACGAGTGCGCTTTCTTTTCCCTCCAGCTGGAACGTGGTGGGCATCCAGGGATCCCTGCTCAGCATTTTCGTGGAGCCCATTTACTTCTCGAGCATCATCCTGGGCAGCCTCTATCACGGGGACCACCTTTCCAGGGCCATGTACCAGCGGATCTCCAACATAGAGGACCTGCCACCTCTCTACACCCTCAACAAGCCTTTGCTAAGTGGCAAGTATCTCTAGAATGTGCCCATTTCAGCTCTATCTTGATTTTGCAATGTTTTAATCCTCGTGAATGAGAAAACCACCACCTGAGCTACTCTGTGGCTATCAGAGAAACATCAGAGTTCTTCTAAAGGGACCCATGGTGATGTTTCTGGATCTTTCTGGGCCTTGTCCCTAGGGCCTTTTAAGTGAGTCCCTTGGTAAAATTAATCTCTTTTATCGATCACAAACCTAGCCATTCATAGAATTGATGGGCTCACACCTGTCATCTCAACACTTTGGGAAGCCAAGGCTAGTGGATTGCTTGAGCCCAGAAGTTCAAGACCAGCCTACGAAACATGGTGAAACCCCATCTCTACAAAAAATTAACCAGATATGGTTCCAGCTACTTAGGTGGTTGAGGTGGGAGGATCACCCGAGGCCAAGCAGTCGAGAAGATTGCACCACTGCACTGTAGCCTGGGCACCTTATGGAAGGAAAGGAGGGAAAAGAAGGGACGGAGGGAGGGAGGGGAGAGAGAAAAAGAGAAAGAAAGGGAGAGAGGCAGGGAGAGAGCGAGAGAAAAGGAAGAAAGAAAGGAGGGAAGGAAGCAAAGGAAGGAAGGAAGGAGAAAAAGAGTGAAATTATGGCTGGGCTTGGTACCTGTATATTTTTCTTTCACTCAGGCAGTGTATTCACTCCTGTCTCAGAAGCAGAAACCCACAGACACCAAAAACTGTCAGCATTGGCTTTCCCAGACTAGCCTTGAGCCAGGTCTCCTGGACATTTATCCTCTCTTGGAGCCACCCGGGTGTTCACAGTGATGAGCTGCATGGAGCCTGCCCTGGGCTCCCTGGAGAGGCCCCGCTGGCTCTGAAAGGTGGTGACAAGTAAAACCGGGGGTACCAATGGCAGGCAAAGCCTGTCTCCCTGATGTCTGCACCTACCCTCGATTCCTTTCATTGCTGGTTTTTTTTTCTTTTTTTAGAATTTCAGTGGCTAACAGTAAAGTGAACAGGAGCTTTTGAATTCAAAGGTCCTAAGCTCACCTTTATTTAAAAGGACACAGTTAAGGTATTTTTATCTTTTTAAACATATAATTTTGCTTCCTTTTTTAAAGCTCAAAACTAAAACCATAATCCTAACCTGAAACACGTTTATTTTGTTGTGTGTGTATGTGTGTGTGTGCTGCCTTGTTCTTGTGCTTGGCTACTAGCACGCCTTTAATTTGAGAAAAAGCAGTGTAGAATTTTATTTGAAAGCATGTCTGTCAGAGCACATGAAGGAGGCAGGGATGGGGAAAAACAGTTGTCTTGAATTAAACTGTACGGCTCCCTAACTTAACCGTTGTGTTTTAAGAAAAACAAAATAGATGGATAAAACTTGATGGTAAGTAAGGTGAAATTGTAGCATCAATGTCTTTTGAAGTATTTTGTTGTGTATTGGTGTATGAATTTCTCATGATTTAGAAAATAATATTCCCTCTTTGTTCTCTATCTTCTATACTTCAGGGAAGAGTGCTTTAATTTTAGCTGTCATTCATCTTTCATATTCATAGATACTTAAAACATTGCATGTGGAATATGGGACACATAGGTGATGCTCAAAAATAGTTGTTAATTAGGGCCTTGTTGAATAGTGCTGAGTAAGCAATATCTCATCCATAACTAAAGTCTGCAAAGACAGGATCATTTTGCTAAAGAAATTTTCTAAGATATTGAAAGTAGAGCTCAATTATAAAAGTCCAAGTATGTGTATCATATTTCACTTATGTGAAAAGCATCTATATCTGTTAGAAAAAAAACCTTGAAAAATATATCTGTAAGATAGACTTCAAAGTTACTGATGCATCTATAAAGTATATAACAAAATAAAAGAAGCTGCTGTTTGTCTTTTCCTCCCCAGTATCATCTCTAATCTTAATAGCCTAAAACACATAACCAGACCCCTCCCTGGTCCCCACTGCAGGGGCTATGCCGAACTGATTCAGCCGCAGCAGAGAGCCTGGGTTGGAGCCGTGAGGCTGCCCCTGATCAGCTCTGCCTACTTGGAGGCTTCTGTGTCTTGGGTTCTTCATATGCCCAGTGGCAGGGATGGACCAGGCGCCCCTTGCAATTCTTCTGGACAAATGGGCCACTGTCATATGAAAATGAAAGGACACCACTCAAGCTCCAGGAGGCAGAACGTTACTCAAATGCTGGGCCAATAAACAATGTCACCCTAGCACCGAAGTATATTTTCAAAATGCAAACGATTTGAAATATCTCATTTTTGGTAAATGCTTTATTTTGGAAATGGGTTTTTGTTGTTGTTTCCCTGAAGAGCATTCAAATCAGCAAAGTAAGTAGCTTTGGAGAAGACACCTTTAGACCAGGAGTCCTGTGAGTCAACCGGACAGTGTTGCAGGAAATTAGGTGAGCCGGAGGATTGAGTAGGCGGGGAGGGCTGATGCTTGTGCTTCAGAATTGAAGTTGAAAGCAAGGAATGCTGTGGATGTTGCCAGAGGCAGAAGGAACCAAACAAAAATCTAGAGGGGCCAACGTTGATGTCTTAATGGATTTGGGAGGTCACATTCTTTTCAAAGCTAAGCCCTCAAAACTTTATTGAAAGGAAAGTCTTACATTTAACCAGTGACCTGGACAGAGGAGCTACCAGGACATTGGCGCCCTTGCTGTGCGTCTCCTGTGTGTATCATACCTCACATCGTGTTTGTTATACTTGTCACTCACATTTAATTGTAAAGTTCATTCCTGTGTTAAAAACAGAGCCAGGTATGATGGTGCCTAGTGAATTGTAGTGTCTTTAGGGAAGAACAGAAATGGACATAAATGAATACAAAGAATTACTAAAACAAGTTTACCTGAAACCTAGAGCAAATCAAAGTAAAAATGTAGGGATAGGGTGTTTATTTCTTTTAAAAAAAATAATACCGTCAGGATTAAAATGAGAAGAATTAGATTTTCATTTCACCCTGAACACTAGTTCTAGTTTAAGAAAGCTTCAGGGCCAGGCATGGTGGCTCACACCTATAATCCCAGCACTTTGGGAGGCCAAGGCGGGCAGATCACCTGAGGTCAGGAGATCGAGACCAGCCCGAACATCATGGAGAAACCCCATCTCTACTAAGAAAAATACAAAATTAGCTGGGCTTGGTGGCAGGTGCCTGTAATCCTAGCTACTCGGGAGGCTGAGGCAGAATTACTTGAACCCAGGAGGTGGAGGTTGCAGTAAGCCAAAATCACGCCACTGACTCCAGCCTGGACAACTGCGCGAGACTCTGTCTCCAAAAAAAAGGCTTCTTGGTGCCAAGCTGTGAAGTGTTTGCCTTTGTGAGCATGCACACTTGGTACCCCTGCTTGGCACCAAGGAAACAGAGGTCTCTCAGGCTTTCTGAGATCTTCTTTCGAATGAGTTTCACATCCAGCGCTTGCAAGTTTCAGGACAATTCCAGCTTCTAATTTACATCCATCGACCCCCTGAGTGTGAGCTCCTCGACTGGCCCAGTTTGTTGTCCAAGGCTCACTATGAGAACCCAAGAAGAAAGAGTGGGCAAATGCCCTGTGGGATGGCTCTGGGGCCCTTGTCGACAGACAGCGTGCTCTGGGGTCCTTGAACCCTATCCTATCCTGCTGGTTTTCATGTTGAACATTGGCATGAACATTAACAAACAAGGCTGCATGGTGGGGGTAGGGTTCTCGTGAACAGCTTGCATTTAGGCATATCTGGGAGGACAGCACAGGGATCTGAGGCGACTGGCTGCAGGCCCAGGTGTGTGGTGGGAAGAAGGCGGGCACCAACGGAGCTGCTGTCCACCCAAGACCATCCAACACCATGGGCAGGAAGAGCAAGGAAAGCTGGTTTAATGAAGCCCTGGCTGGAGTGAGAGAGAAGAAACATCACTGTGAAAGTGAGAGAGACAGTGTGTGTGTATGTATTTTCCAGGTAAGAGCAGGCATCGGGGTTGTAGGAAAGAAGTGTCAGTAATGTCAGTTTCCTCCTTAGGATGAAGGAGTAAACAAGAGAACAGCCACCAAGCTTTGCTCCAAGTACGAAATCATTTTTTCATCTTATAATTTTTCTTTGCATTTTATTTTTGTTTTGTTTCTCCCCTTTAGTTTCACTGTACTGATTAAATTGTATTTTCCCTTTCTTCCCACTGGTGATTTTGAAGTTCTAAATCTTATTTCTATTCTAACTAGTGGTTACCTCGATTTTTTAAAACAAATATATTTAAATCACTTTGAAAAAATGTTGGCATCAGGAATTAATTAATATTTTTAAAGATCCAAACTTGGGAAAAGCTAAAATCTTGGGCTCATTTTTATTCCACACTCTTCCCATCCTCATCTTCCTAGATTCTGATGACATCATCTTGAGTTTTAGAAGCTCATTCGATATTGTGCTTTTTCTTTAAAAGCCTTTCTTAATAAGTCACACAGCCACATGATCAACAGTTGTCTCTATGAAAATGTAAGGGCTCCTGGTTTCTCTTCTAACCAGTTTTCTGTAGCCAGTGTCCCTGCCCTTAATTCCACATTCAGATTTATTTTTCACTTTGCTGGAATGCATCCTTCGTTGGGGTGACAGGGTGATTTCTTGGTTGGTTGGTTTTGTTTGACTTTGGAGAAGAGGCCTGTGTGGTTGGGGCTCTGGATCCTGACTTTACCTGGTCCTCTTCTGTACACCAGGTAGACTGAGAACTGCAGGTGTCTGGGCTCCGTCCTTTCCCTAAGGACACCTCAAGACCTCCATGTCACCCCTCCATTGTCACCCTTTGTCACAGAGCCAGTTTGAGTTTCTTCCCTTTCTAGAAAGTACCCCTTTCTTGTTTTCTGTATGGTAGCATTAAATTTATTTGTTTTCCTTAAAATTCAGAAATCTCAGCAGATTAAGCCTAGGCGTGTGGCTAGCTTGTTGGGGTTTCTTTCCTACTCACTACGCTGAACCCTCTGATCTGGATTGTTGAATCTTCACTTCTGAGAATTTCCTTCTGTTGTTTCACTTCTGCTAGAAGCATCTTCTCTG